CTACTTCTTACATGTTGAACACAAATACCTGTACTTTCTACTTCTTACATGTTGAACACAAATACCTGTACTTTCTACTTCTTACATGTTGAACACAAATACCTGTACTTTCTACTTCTCACATGTTGAACACAAATACCTGTACTTTCTACTTCTTACATGTTGAACTCAAATACCTGTACTTTCTACTTCTTACATGTTGAACCCAAATACCTGTACTTTTCTACTTCTTACATGTTGAACACAAATACCTGTACTTTCTACTTCTTACATGTTGAACACAAATACCTGTACTTTCTACTTCTTACATGTTGAACACAAATACCTGTACTTTCTACTTCTTACATTTTTAACACAAATACCTGTACTTTCTACTTCTTACATGTTGAACACAAATACCTGTACTTTCTACTTCTCACATGTTGAACCCAAATACCTTTACTTTCTACTTCTTACATGTTGAACCCAAATACCTGTACTTTCTACTTCTTACATGTTGAACACAAATACCTGTACTTTCTACTTCTTACATGTTGAACACAAATACCTGTACTTTCTACTTCTTACATGTTGAACACAAATACCTGTACTTTCTACTTCTTACATGTTGAACTCAAATACCTGTACTTTCTACTTCTTACATTTTTAACACAAATACCTGTACTTTCTACTTCTTACATTTTTAACACAAATACCTGTACTTTCTACTTCTTACATGTTGAACACAAATACCTGTACTTTCTACTTCTTACATGTTGAACCCAAATACCTGTACTTTCTACTTCTCACATGTTGAACACAAATACCTGTACTTTCTACTTCTTACATGTTGAACCCAAATACCTGTACTTTCTACTTCTTACATGTTGAACACAAATACCTGTACTTTCTACTTCTTACATGTTGAACACAAATACCTGTACTTTCTACTTCTTACATGTTGAACCCAAATACCTGTACTTTCTACTTCTTACATGTTGAACCCAAATACCTGTACTTTCTACTTCTTACATGTTGAACTCAAATACCTGTACTTTCTACTTCTCACATGTTGAACACAAATACCTGTACTTTCTACTTCTTACATGTTGAACTCAAATACCTGTACTTTCTACTTCTTACATTTTTAACACAAATACCTGTACTTTCTACTTCTTACATTTTTAACACAAATACCTGTACTTTCTACTTCTTACATGTTGAACACAAATACCTGTACTTTCTACTTCTCACATGTTGAACCCAAATACCTGTACTTTCTACTTCTTACATGTTGAACTCAAATACCTGTACTTTCTACTTCTTACATGTTGAACACAAATACCTGTACTTTCTCGTCTACATGTTGAACACAAATACCTGTACTTCTACTTCTTACATGTTGAACACAAATACCTGTACTTTCTACTTCTTACATGTTGAACTCAAATACCTGTACTTTCTACTTCTTACATGTTGAACACAAATACCTGTACTTTCTACTTCTTACATGTTTGAACCCAAATACCTGTACTTTCTACTTCTTACATGTTGAAACTACAAATACCTGTACTTTTCTACTTCTTACATGTTGAACACAAATACCTGTACTTTCTACTTCTCTACATTTTTAACACAAATACCTGTACTTTCTACTTCTTACATGTTTAACACAAATACCTGTACTTTCTACTTCTTACATGTTGAACACAAATACCTGTACTTTCTACTTCTTACATGTTGAACCCAAATACCTGTACTTTCTACTTCTTACATGTTGAACACAAATACCTGTACTTTCTACTTCTTACATGTTGAACACAAATACCTGTACTTTCTACTTCTTACATTTTTAACACAAATACCTGTACTTTCTACTTCTTACATGTTGAACACAAATACCTGTACTTTCTACTTCTTACATGTTGAACACAAATACCTGTACTTTCTACTTCTTACATGTTGAACACAAATACCTGTACTTTCTACTTCTTACATGTTGAACCAAATACCTGTACTTTCTACTTCTACATGTTGAACACAAATACCTGTACTTTCTACTTCTTACATGTTGAACCAAATACCTGTACTTTCTACTTCTCACATGTTGAACACAAATAACCTGTCACTTTCTACTTCTTACATGTTGAACCCAAATACCTGTCTTTCTACTTCTTACATGTTGAACATCAAATACCTGTACTTTCTACTTCTTACATGTTGAACACAAATACCTGTACTTTTCTACTTCTTCACATGTTGGAACACAACTACCTTTAACTTTCTACTTCTTACATGTTGAACACAATACCTGTACGTTCTACTTCTTACATGTTGAACACAAATACCTGTACTTTCTTTCTACTTCTCACATGTTGAACCCAAATACCTGTACTTTCTACTTCGTACATGTTGAACCCAAAATACCTGTACTTTCTACTTCTTACATGTTGAACACAAATACCTGTACTTTCTACTCTTACATGTTGAACACAAATCCTGTACTTTCTACTTCTTACATGTTTGAACACAAATACCTGTACTTTCTACTTCTTACATGTTGAACCCAAATACCTGTACTTTCTACTTCTCACATGTTGAACCCAAATACCTGTACTTTCTACTTCGTACATTTGGAACCCAAATACCTGTACTTCGACTTCTTACATGTTGAACCAAATACCTGTACTTTCTACTTCTTACATGTTGAACTCAAATACCTGTACTTTCTACTTCTTACATGTTGAACACAAATACCTGTACTTTCTACTTCTTACATGTTGAACACAAATACCTGTACTTTCTACTTCTTACCTGTTGAACCCAAATACCTGTACTTTCTACTTCTTACATGTTGAACCCAAATACCTGTACTTTCTACTTCTTACATGTTGAACCCAAATACCTGTACTTTCTACTTCTTACATGTTGAACTCAAATACCTGTACTTTCTACTTCTTACATGTTGAACACAAATACCTGTACTTTCTACTTCTTACATGTTGAACACAAATACCTGTACTTTCTACTTCTTACATGTTGAACACAAATACCTGTACTTTCTACTTCTTCACATGTTGAACCCAAATACCTGTACTTTCTACTTCTACATGTTGAACCCAAATACCTGTACTTTCTACTTCTTACATGTTGAACACAAATACCTGTACTTTCTACTCTTACATGTTGAACACAAATACCTGTACTTTCTACTTCTTACATGTTGAACACAAATACCTGTACTTTCTACTTCTCACATGTTGAACACAAATACCTGTACTTTCTACTTCTCACATGTTGAACCCAAATACCTGTACTTTCTACTTCTTACATGTTGAACCCAAATACCTGTACTTTCTACTTCTTACATGTTGAACCCAAATACCTGTACTTTCTACTTCTTACATGTTGAACCCAAATACCTGTACTTTCTACTTCTTACATGTTGAACACAAATACCTGTACTTTCTACTTCTTACATGTTGAACTCTAATACTAAATATTAAAAACCTTAAGTCTAACAGACGGATATAAATCAGTTTGAAAGCTTTCAATGAGGTAACAAGGATTACTCTTTAACTCTGATCCAATGAATCATAATAAAGGAAGATGTCCGATTTTACCCAGCGACAGTTTGCTTCCTTCTTGTTTTGATATGAAAGTGATTACTCTGCAGGAGGAGATAGGATAGGATTTGCATGGCGTTGCACAACATGTCGTCATGGTGAATAATCCTGCACGCATCAGGTTACAGGATCAGCCGTTTGTGCTGCTAAAAGTCAAATAGAGCGAGAACATGAATAGACCGGTTGGTGTTGGAAGATATATTCTTTGATGGATTCCTATAGCTCCACATTGCCCTCTGATGGACTGAAACACACAACAACACAAGGCAGAGGAGAGAACACGTGGGCCGGGTTCCTCTGTCTCAGAAAGAGGAATAATGTTTCATCACAAGTTTAAAATGCTAGTATTTACTTATATTTCGTTGGAGATAAAGGGAATACCTCACCGTGCTGTGATGAAGAAATGCATGACAAACAGTGGTGTAAAGTAAGTCTGTAGGTTTACTCAAGTACAAGATCTGAGTACTTCTACTTTTACTCAAGTACAATATCTGAGTACTTCTACTTTTACTCAAGTACAAAATCTGAGTACTTCTACTTTTACTCAAGTACAAGATCTGAGTACTTCTACTTTTACTCAAGTACAATATCTGAGTACTTCTACTTTTACTCAAGAACAAGACCTGAGTACTTCTACTTTTACTCAAGTACAAGACCTGAGTACTTCTACTTTTACTCAAGAACAAGACCTGAGTACTTCTACTTTACTCAAGAACAAGACCTGAGTACTTCTACTTTTACTCAAGAACAAGATCTGAGTACTTCTACTTTAACTCAAGTGCAAGATCTGAGTACTTCTACTTTAACTCAAGTGCAAGATCTGAGTACTTCTACTTTTACTCAAGTACAAGACCCTGAGTACTTCTACTTTTACTCAAGTGCAAGATCTGAGTACTTCTACTTTTACTCAAGTACAAGACCTGAGTACTTCTACTTTACTCAAGTACAAGATCTGAGTACTTCTACTTTTTGTGTGTAGTATTCATGCACAGAGCCTTTTCTATAAACTAAGTGCAGTTGTGCTTCATTCGTCTGGTGATAACTGTGCTTGTATTATGGAAGCAAACGTGGCAATGTGATTAATTTGCATTCATATTTCTCTCGGGTTTCCATAATATTTGGAAGCGTTAATGCTTCGTTGCTTCGTCCACAGCTCTATTAAAACCTAAACTCTAACGGACCAGAAGAAAACCGTTTTAAAGCTTCAAAGGAGGTGAAGAGGATGCATGTCACTGTCTGGTATCTGCACTTCAACACCTCTTTACCATCAGATTAGAAAGGGAATGTTTTAAGTCAAGCACATGTATTTTTGGAAAGAGGATCAGACTGGTGTTGGAAAATGACTCCGGAGCATTGTTTATATACATATATCTTGTTATAAATAAGACAAGCTCATTAAAAAAGCTCCAGGCATGACTCTTCTTTAATGCGGTGCAATGAAAGAGACACTTCTCTAAACTATTATTAAAACAGAAATGTGACAATTTGGTGAAAATCAAGACATAAAACTGGCATTTTTCACAAGTTCTCAGATTCATCGTAACAACGAGGCTATCGAGTCTTTTTGGGTTAAACTTTCATTACAAATAAAAAAGTACTTTTGAAACACATCCATAGAGTCCTTATAAGGCCTTGCAGTACATTGTGTCATCGGATTACTTTTTGCAGATACATGTTTACAATCTCGAGTTTTCACAATCACTAATAACCGGCATCTAAAACAGAAACATATTTATTCACCAGTTCCTCCCAGTCTCATGGTGGTTATTGGCCCACTGGTTCCATGTGTCCTCGTGCACTTTAGTCCTTTATAATCCACGTGCCAGGAAGCCGTTTCTTTGCATCTTGTTTCCTCCGAGTCCTCCTCACGGTAAAACCAAATTAACGCTCCACGCACACGCGATATTCAACGTAATATGTTTTAAAACGGTTAAAAAAAAGGGGGAAATGGCTTAAATTGCTTTGAGTTTCTTCCATGCATGGTGACTGACAGAGAGGTGCAGGAATGAGTCCTAAAACCTCGGAATTAGTCATTTTGTCTGCATTTTGGTTCGCTTATCACAAAGTCAATGGGTTTCTGGATGTGTTTTTGGTTAAAAGCCTCAAATAATGTCTTAAAAACGGGACGACGAAGAAATACCACATCCCTGCACCTCTCTATTAAGGGTGATGAATACAAAATCTGAAGTGAGAATGAAAAATGTTCTGTTGCATCTCCTTCCCGAGAGGAAAGTAATTTTTTACACATTAAAAGCGTTTCGTCGCTCATCCCAACCCCCGTTTTAAAGTCTTTTTTCAAACCGTGTCCCTGAGAACAGTCTGTCTCTTTGCTTCTGGAGTCCTCCTCACGGTGAAACTAATTAACGCTCCACGAACCGAGATATTTTACATATTATTCAACGGTACAAGTGAAATGGCTTGAATTGCTTTGAGTTTCTTCCATGCATGGTGACTGATAGAGAGGTGCAGGAATGATTCCTAAAACCTCGGAATTAGTCAGTTTCTTTGCATTTTGGTTCGCTTATCACAAAGTCAATGGGTTTCTGGATGTGTTTTTGGTTAGAAGCCTCAAATAATGTCTTAAAAAACTGAGTGTCTAAATGAGACGACGAAGAAATACCACATCCTGCACCTCTCTATTAAGTGTGATGAATACAAAATCTGAAGTGAGAATGAAAAATGTTCTGTTGCATCTCCTTCCCGTTACGACAGTTATTTTCCACATTAAAAGCGTCTCATCGCTCATCCCAACCCCCGTTTTAAAGTCTTTTTTTCAAACCGTGTCCCGAGAACTCTGAAGTCTGTCTCTTTGTATCTCCCCTTCCTCCTCCTCCTCCTCCCTGTTAGGACACTTATTTGTTACACATTAAAAGCGTCTCATCGCTCATCCCAACCCCCGTTTTAAAATATTAGTCATTTTTTTCAATCCGTGTCCCAAGAACTCTGAAGTCTGTCTCTTTGTATCTCCCCTCTTCTTCCACCTCTTACTCTTCATCTTCATCCCCTTCCTCCTCAGGACACTTATTTGTGAGACGGGGAGAGTTCCTCCGTATGTCGTACATAAAAAGAAAAACATTAAAAGCATATTCATCGGTCATCCCAACCCCCGTTTAAAATCGCTGATCCCAACCCCCGTTTAAAATATTAGTCTTTTTTTTCAATCCGTGTCCCAGAGAACAGTCTGTATCTCCCCTCTTCTTCTTCCTCTTCCTCCTCCTCCTCACTGGGGTCCCAGTCCCCCCCCCTCGCTGTGGTCGCTCCCCCACAGCCGGTAGAACTGGGTGAAGTCGACGTACGGAGGGACCCTCCCCGTCTCATCGGGCTGAGCCGCCTGACTGCCTCTCTGCCGGAAGAGGCTGCCGTCCCCCGAGCTGGAGCTGGAGCTCTGGGTCTGAGTGTTGGTGGACTGGAGGGTGGCTGTGGGACTCTGACTGCTGGGGAGGAAGAGGAGGGAGGAAGAGGAGGGGAGAGGGAGAGGAGGAGGGGGGGAGGTGGGGAAGGAGAACATGGAGGTGGAGATGGGGAGAGGAGAGAAGACAGGGGAGAAAGGGAGTTCAATTATAGGCTGCAGGATGTCAACAGAGGAGTGAAGGGTGGGGGGGGGAAACGAGCTGGAGGAGGAAGGACGGAGAGGAAGAGGAGAAGACATGAAGACGGAGGAAAACCAGGAGAATAACGAAGGGAGAGAAAGTCGTGGCCAACGGGAAACGGTAAGGAGAAGGGAATAAGTGAGAGAAACAGGAAAGAAAAGGGGAATTACAGAGAGTAAAACAAGAACATGTAAAAACAGAAAATGTAGAAGAAAACAGAAAAATAAACAGAGAGGAAATGGTTAGGTCAAAGGGGGAAACAGAGAGGAGGACGGAAGTACAGAGGAGAAGATATAAAACCAAGAGAACAACGGAGGGAGACGTCGTGGAAATTGGGAAATGGTAAGGAGAGAAACAGGAAAGAAACAGTAGAACAAAAGAGAGGAAAACGGTGAAACGGTGGAGGAAAAGGGAATTACAGAAAGTAAAACAAGAAGGAAAACATAGGAAAAGATAGAGGATAAAGGAAAGGAAAAGGTAGAGGATAAAGGAAAGGAAAAGGTAGAGTAGAAAGGAAAGGAAAAGGTAGAGGAGAAAGGAAAGGAAAAGGTAGAGGATAAAGGAAAGGAAAAGGTAGAGGATAAAGGAAAGGAAAAGGTAGAGGAGAAAGGAAAGGAAAAGGTAGAGGAGAAAGGAAAGGAAAAGGTAGAGGAGAAAGGAAAGGAAAAGGTAGAGTAGAAAGGAAAGGAAAAGGTAGAGGACAAAGGAAAGGAAAAGGTAGAGGAGAAAGGAAAGGAAAAGGTAGAGTAGAAAGGAAAGGAAAAGGTAGAGGACAAAGGAAAGGAAAAGGTAGAGGAGAAAGGAAAGGAAAAGGTAGAGTAGAAAGGAAAGGAAAAGGTAGGGGAGAAAGGAAAGGAAAAGGTAGAGGAGAAAGGAAAGGAAAAGGTAGAGGAGAAAGGAAAGGAAAAGGTAGAGGAGAAAGGAAAGGAAAACAGGAACAATAGAAAAGACGCCGGAGAGAATAACAAAGAGGTAGAGGTTAACGGAGAGGAGAGGACGCGGAGGATTGAAAAACGGGAACAAGAGAAACCGATGTGAGTCGGACAGAAACACGACGGAGAGAAAGAGAAGTGATCTGTGCAGACGAAGAGCAAAATGCAAAACAAAAGGGTGCTCCCGCAGCTTGATGAAGGTCTTTGAATGCCACTCGGAACAAAAGACAAACGTTTTAAAATCAAAAGAAACCAAAAGACAACACATTAATTACCCTGCCAAAAAAGCACGAATACACATCGCCTGTTTCAGACGGCTAATCGTGGACGGAGAGCCATGTGCACTTATTGTTCATTTAGTTTAGATTTGTAATTCTGTTAATTATGCGATTTGCGGGTCATTCTGTAAATCACTGTTTAAGGCGAGACACTCCAGGTGAATAGGGTACTTTTTAAACTTAAAGATATCAGCTAGACATTTCTCCAGTTAGTTACTTACATTAAGACAATTGTTTTTTGTATTACAACTTTAATGAAATAGCATGTTTAAATATGCAAATTAGCCATAATCTATCATATTTTAACACATTTCAGGAACACATATCTGAACATTGGATAAAGCTAGGATCAACATTCTTGTTTCATTTTGTAGTCATATTATAATCTAAAGTTTTTACAGAAGGGATTTTGGATATCTTTCAGATATCCTTCAGAATATGGATAGGAATATAACTGGAAGGTTTGGTGTATGTAAGGGCTACTGAGGTGGACATTTCGGGCTTAGAGCAGAGTCCTGCACGGGTCTGATTTTCAAGACCCGCTCCCGCGACGTGCAATACCGAACCCGCCCCGCTACCCGCACATATTGCCAATTAGTTCTGCAACCCGACCCGTCGGCACAGGATCCGCAACCATATATGAGCAGTGAAAACGTGCAATTATTAACACACGCAGTTGCATATTTGTCTCAAAAAGCGTGGGATGTTGGTTATTTTCTCCATCTAGGAACCAGAAGCCTCCAGACGTTGGATTTCGCTCTTGAGGAAGTGTTATTGAAAATGCTGTATTCTCCGCTAGAGAGCTTCACCTCAGCCATTTAGAATGTGGCGCTCAGCAGCAGATTGATGCGCTGCAGAGGTTATGATTATGCGCGGCCCCGCGGGGGAGAGGTCTGAGGATTTAAACATTAAACTAAATTATTATTATTTTTAATATATTTATTATGCAACACCCGCGACCCGACCCGCATCATCTTTGTTTTACCCAGAGCCGAACCCGGAAAAAATACCAGTAGGGTAGGAGAAAAAACTCATTTTGAGAAAACGACCCTTAAAAAGGTCCCATGCCCATTTCTACTGATCATAGTTCCATTGTTGAGGTCTCCTAGAATATATTTCAATTGTGCAATTTTCCAAACTCTCATTGGTTTCTCAAACAGCATCTCTGTTTAGTGTATTCACTCTCTGTCCTACACGGCTTGTTGGAGCTCCTGCCTACCCCTCCCTGTGAGCCCAGTGGCCGTCTGCAAGACAGCGAAACCCAGCCCGAAACACACACACACACACACACCCGCAGCCTGGCTGGGAGTTTGTGTGTGTGCCCAGGCTGAGTTCTGCGGTGTCTCGCTATCTCGCCGACCCCACACCGGTGAACCAGCTCAGAGTGTCCTGCTCCTCGCAGCAGAGAGCCTTGCAACGTCCCGCCGAGTGTGTGTGTGTGAGGAAGTCCGCGAATTGGTCCGAACGTAATGGCTCCGCGGACGTAACGGCTCCCCGGACGTAACGGCCCTCCGGATTGGTCAATTTGGACCAATCTGCGGAGCCGTTACGTTACTATACCCGAAATACGTCACTATACCCAAGAAGTAATCAATGGAAAAAGGGAAATCTCCAACGAGGCGTTCTGGGGCAGCACAGACAGGTCAGTGTGCATCTGGACCCGGTGACAACATTACCTATTGACGCAGCAACCACTGTAAGTTATATTCTTGTTTAATTAGACTTCTCGGTTTCATTTATTCGACTCTGTATAATTGTTACTGTAGCTTAAACGGCTAAATCGCTTTTGAGAGATTTTAAATCTCAGATCTGCTCAGGCGAAACCTGCTTTACAGCTCTCAGCACTCAAGCCTGCATTATTAACATAGGCAGGGCCAGTCTATTGTCGCCCATCAGCTGTAGATAGTTAACTAATTAACTTCAGCTGTGAGAACTGAGCAATCAGGCGTCCATTTCGGGTAGCTCTTTCCTGGAGCGTCAGCTTCAGCGGCAGACAGGCTAAGACTGACAAAGACATTAGAGTCCTACAGGAGTAAGACTGACAAAGACATTAGAGTCCTACAGGAGTCACGAGGGAGGCAAAGAGGAGGCAAATCCTACTTTGATTGAGCTAAGTATCGTTGGTGTTTTTATTTTTTAATTTAGTTGTTTAGCACTTAATGCTATAATCATGTGTATTTTCTCCATTCCTGTTCATGTGTCTTCTCGCAATTATCACTGGCCCCGTGTATCTTGTAATCGATATAACCGGCCTGCTCTCGTCTATCCCACATGCTCCACTGAGATCCAACATCTAGTTTCAGGTGGCCTGTGGAACTGCCAGTCAGCTGTTCCTAAGGCTGACTTCATCTCTGGCTACACCTCCCTGCAGTCTCTGGATTTCCTTGCTCTCACTGAGACCTGGATTACTCCATTCAACACATCCACCCCAGCAGCTCTCTCCACTGCATATTCCTTCTCCCATACACCCAGACCCACTGGTAGAGGAGGTGGCACTGGTCTCCTGCTCTCTCCCAAATGGAGCTTTTCCCTCTTCAAGCTACCTAACTTTACTCCTTCCACCTTTGAGTTCCATGCCGTCACAGTAACCCATCCTATACAGTTAACCATTGTTGTTCTCTACCGTCCACCAGGCGCCTTGGGGGTCTTCTTGGAGGAGTTAGATAATCTCCTCTCACACATCCCTGAAACCGGCCCTCCCGCTGTACTTCTCGGAGACTTCAACCTCCAGATGGGGAAGATAGACGAACTAACATCTCTGTTAACCGCCTTTGCTTTCTCACTCTCTCCGTCCCCACCGACTCATAAAGCTGGCAATGTCCTTGATCTCATATTCTCAAGGAACTGCGCTACTTCTAACCTCTCTGTAAACCCGCTCCACACATCCGATCACTTCTTCATTTCATTCTCTCTATCCCTTTCCAAATATAACAAACTAATCTCTTCCCATCCTACACTTGTCCGTCGTAACCTTCGCTCCCTCTCTCCCTCTACCTTTGCCTCGTCGGTGCTCTCAGCCCTCCCTTCCTCTGATTCGTTCCAACTACTGCCTCCAAACTCTGCTGCAGAAACTCTCCTCTCTACTCTCTCATCCACTCTGGACTCGCTCTGTCCTCTGACATCTCGGCAGGCTCGTCAGTCCCCTCCGGCTCCCTGGCTAAATGATGCACTGCGTGCTAATAGAACCGTCCTTAGGGCAGCAGAGCGGAAATGGTGGAAATCCAAACACCGTGACGACCTCCTAACCTATCAAGCTCTCCTCTCCTCTTTCTCTGCTTCAGATCTCTCAGGCAAAAAGCACTTTCTTTCAAGATAAGATCCAATCTTCCTATTCCAATCCTAAAAAACTATTTTCCATCTTCTCCACCCTCTTGGACCCTCCAAAAGCTCCTCCCCCCTCCTCACTTCTGTCAAGCGACTTTGTTACCCCACTTTGAAAAAAGGTTAATGATATTCGCTCTTCTTTTTCTGACTCACCTCTACTCACCGCTGGGTCACCAGACCCTCCTTCCACCAACACACTAACCTCCTTTTCCCCTCTCTCTCCAAGTGAGGTTCTTACCCTCATTACCTCTGCCCGCCCTACCACCTGTCCTCTGGACCCTATCCCTTCAAACCTCCTTCAGACTATCGCTCCTGATATTCTACCGTTTCTCACCCATTTCATCAACACTTCTCTAACTTCTGGTCACTTTCCAAACAGTCTCAAGGAGGCAAGAGTAAACCCTCTCCTAAAGAAACCCACTCTCAACCCGTCATGATGTTATAAACTACAGGCCTGTCTCTCTCCTCCCGTTCCTGTCTAAATCACTTGAACGCGCTGTCTTTAAACAACTCTCCTGTTATCTCAATCAGAACAACCTTCTGGATCCGCACCAGTCTGGTTTCAAGGCAGGTCACTCCACAGAAACTGCTCTCATTGCTGTCACGGAGGAACTGCACACTGCCAAAACTGCATCCCTCTCCTCTGTCATCATCCTGTTGGACCTGTCTGCTGCATTCGACACGGTGAATCATCAGATCCTCCTTCGCACTCTCCAAAAACTTGGAGTTTCTGGCTCTGCACTTTCCCTCCTCACCTCATACCTGAAAGACCGTACCTACAGGGTGACTTGGAGAGGGTCTGAGTCCGACCCTTGTCAATTAACTACGGGGGTCCCTCAGGGCTCTGTTCTTGGTCCCCTCCTCTTCTCCTTGTACACAAACTCGCTCGGATCAGTCATTAGCCCGCATGGTTTTTCTTACCACTGCTACGCTGACGACACCCAATTAATTCTGTCCTTTCCCCGCTCAGAGACCCAGGTCGTCGCGCGCATCTCTGCTTGTCTGGCTGACATCTCTCAGTGGATGTCTGCTCACCACCTCAAGCTCAACCTTGACAAGACTGAGCTGCTCTTCCTCCCGGGAAAAGATTGTCCCACTCTTGACCTAACAATCAACATCGGCACCTCAGTTGTTTCCCCGACTCAGACTGCAAGGAATCTGGGTGTGACCCTAGATAACAACCTGTCCTTCACTGCAAACATCGCTGCTACAACCCGCTGCTGCAGATACACGCTTTACAACATCAGGAAGATACGTCCCCAGCTGACTCAGAAAGCGACTCAGGTTCTGGTCCAGGCTCTCGTCATCTCACGCCTAGACTACTGCAACTCCCTCCTGGCTGGTCTACCTGCATGTGCCATCCGACCTCTGCAGCTCATCCAGAATGCAGCGGCTCGTCTGGTTTTCAACCTTCCTAAATTCTCCCACACCACTCCGCTTCTCCGCTCCCTTCACTGGCTTCCGGTAACTGCTAGAATCCACTTCAAGACACTGGTACTTGCGTACCATGCTGCGAATGGATCTGGCCCTTCCTACATCCAGGACATGGTTAAACCGTACACCCCAGCGCGTGCACTACGCTCTGCATCAGCCAAACGACTCGTTGCGCCCTCGCTGCGAGGGGGACCCAAGTTCCCATCGGCGAAAACACGTGGGTTTGCTATCCTGGCTCCAAGATGGTGGAATGAGCTCCCCATTGACATCAGGACGGCAGATAGCTTGCACATCTTCCGGCGCAAACTGAAAACTCATCTCTTTCGACTCCACTTCGAGCGTTAGAACGATTAACGAAGCACTTTTATACTAATAAAGGACTGAATTACCTAAAGCCAGTTGAGTAGCACTTGAAATATTTGGCTCTATGAAACCTGATATACTTATATGATTCTGTTTTCTTCAAGGTTGTGTCTTCCTGGTCGAATGTACTTATTGTAAGTCGCTTTGGACAAAAGCGTCAGCTAAATGCAATGTAATGTAATGTAATGTAATGTAATGTCTTCTCTGTGTTAGAGGTTTACTCGCTACAGGGTGCACTTTGAGGGTTTGTGACTCTGCAGACCGTTTACATGCAGAACAACCTTCATAACACAAGGGGACGGGTAATAACCGGAAAAGCATGACATGGGACCTTTAAAGAATGCTGTGTGGCGCTACCTAAACCCTCCTGTTCTTTGGATGACAGCTTGCGTTTTTTGGTTTAAGACCCCTTTGTACTTTCACGATTGGTTGCTGATACAAAGGAAATGACCATATTTGGATCCGATGAGATTGTGCAGCTCATTGAGCTTTCCAACGATACCTCTGATGACATGGGGCAAACAGTGGTCGCGGTACTTTATGTTACGTTAGAACGCAAATAGACAAACTATAGTAAAATAAACACCTAAATGTGTATTTTTCCTTCCAAAGGCCTGAAAGAAAACATGTTATGGAATCAAAATAGCACAACATTTCACAGTTCATGAAAAACCATGTTATTGCCGGCCGTGTCTCGCCTTAAAACTGATATTTTGAGATTTACACGAAAAACCAAAGTCAGAAAAATGTAGGAATGAAATCCTTCTTCCCATGTTCTAACAACATTTTAATATGAACACTTTAAAAAAATGCCTTTCTGGAGAGATGTTACCATTTACATGCACTAACACCTATAAAAAGACACTACAGGGAGGAGAAAAACCCTCCAAAAAACATCCAGAGCCCCTTTAAACTGCACTTCACATTGTGTGTAAGAAAACCTCGTCCTTTTGACTCGGAAATTATTCTTTTTTAGACGCAATAAAAAGGGAATTATGTTGCTGTTCGGAAAGAATAAGCATTAATGATTGCCACGGTGAGCAGCTTCTGATACGATCCGGTCCCAAATCAGAGTTAAATGGCCCCCGGGGGGTATACAGATTTAATTGAAGCCATATGTTAACATTACAGTGTGTGGAGTACGATGTTAGAATATTCTATCAGCTGTAGATCGGCAGGAAACACAACGGGAGAGTGAAAACGCTGCCTAGGCATAAATACACACTCACCTAACATAAATAGAGCCAGAATAAACTCTACAGACGGGGAAGAACTAAACTCACAACAGCAGAGAAGAGGGAGGGAAGATTTAAAGTTAAACTACAGGAGCCTAAAGGGTCAAAAAGGAGACAAAGATCTGTGTAGATTTAATAGCTTTTTGAGTCGTCGGAACAATTCCAAACCGCCCCCTACACCCTTTTGTATTTCAAATGTAAAGTACAGTGGCTTCAAGCTGAGAGAAGTTCTTGTGGTCAGAATCACCATGTAGCGTTGATCAATAATTGCATTTATTTTTACAGTTTTGCAGCAGTCTATTGACGGGACGTGTTATTTGAGATAGCTTAAGAAATATAAAATAGACAATGCCTTGATGATGTCATTCTTTTTGATCTGATCAAATTTGACCAAGATATTGAAAAATCTTCTTTAGACTTTAGACTATTTTGCAGTAATCATTTAGTGCTTCTCTATAAACTAGCTTCTGTTTAAAACTAGGGACCCATGCGTGCACAGAAGTTGATTAGCTGTTTGTGGCTAACACTGGTGCTAGCATTGATAAAACCTTTACTGCTAATTGAGTATTTTGTGTAAAATTCTAGTACGAGCAAAATGCAGATTCATAGTTGGATCAGTTTGTGTTATTTACTGTATCTTAGGGGAGATTAGGTGTCGTTATTATTGCTATTTTGTATACACAAATGCTAAAATGGTGCATTCAAGGGCAGGGATACACATCAAGTTCTTATGTTCAAGTGAAAAAAAGACTGTGAAAATGTGTCTGATCTAGAGCATGCAATGGAGTACAAATCAAGCTATTTAACAGCACAAATGGGACCAGGAGTGAAAAACAAGCTTACCCAGGGGTGGGGGTGCCCTCCTCCAGCGTGGAGGCGGTGTTGGTGCCGTTGGTGAGAGTATTCTGGGATGGCATGACGAGTGAGAGCATGACGCTGGTCTTACTGGTGCTCAGACTGTTGGAGTACGGCACCGACACCGGGTAGATACGGCCACCTGAGAGGAGGACACGTGGAATCATTAAAGGTCTCCTATCATGCAAAATGCACTTTGTGATGTCTTTTATACATCACCATGTGTCCCCGCTGTCTCCCCGGTGTGTCCCCGGTGTGTCCCCGGTGTGTCCCCGCTGTCTCCCCGGTGTGTCCCCGCTGTCTCCCCGGTGTCTCCCCGGTGTCCCCCCGGTGTGTCAGGAGACTCACAAAGTGTCAGAAATACAACCCTCTCTCTTTTCCTCCGTACCCACATCTCTAAAAATGGGGCTACAACGGAGCTGATCCAGATTTGCGTCCCATATGAAGTAATATCGGACCCTATCAGAAACGTTGCTATCAGAAACAATGCGCGACGTGTTTTGGACATAATATGGTCTTTGTTTACATTAGCATCGCTAACACTAAGAGCTAACCTGTACTGGAGAGCAGCGTTTCCGCCAGGGGGGAGTCTTGCCGTCATTTTACGCTCTTATTCAGCTCGGAACGCCCTGAACTCGAGCCGAGGGCGTCCACATTTTTTTATAATCTGAGAGAAGATCGAGAGTTTTTATCGCTTGAAATGACGAAAAGGAAAAAGGACAAGGACATCCCTCTGTTGGAGGGGCAAAGGAGTCTGGTGGGATTCTTTTCGCCGCCTGCAAAGCGTGTTCCTGTGACGAAAAAGAAAAAGCACCGCTGCATCTTCCAAGGACCATGCCAGGAGGGGTGTCCCTGTCGGCAGGGAGACGTTAAGAGATAGTATAAGGGACGGTGCAATTAAAAATTCAAGTCACGTGACAGGACGTGACGTGACCCTCCCCCCCGCTCTCGGGGTGGACGCCCTCTCAGCCCTGGTCTGGCGGAAACACTGCTGGAGAGAGTATGTGTGAAAAAGCAGGAAATCGTTAATGTGTTCGTTAATGCGTTAAAAAAAATTAACGCCACTAATTATTTTAACACGATTAACGCATGTGTATTTTTTTTCCTCTGCCGCCTCGTAGTTTCAGAGCGCATCGAGTTTATAATACCATCTACAAGCTGATGCTGACAGCCCCGCTCCTGCCGCCCGCTTGTGGCAGACCACACTTCCACGCTCACCGGCAGGCACCGACTGGCTGTTGGGAGGACCGGGAGGGTGTGTGTATGTGTGGCCCGAGCGAGCGAGTGAGAGAGAGACCTTACGTGCATTGTTGTTGTTAGCATCTGGTGCTAGCTAGCTGCGCTAACGGATATAAGGAGCTGTTTAAATGAAAACAGAGGAGCGACATTTTGCCACAACTGCGCCTTGACTTTATGCAGGAAGCCATTGTACGAAAAGTCAGCACACTCAGCTCGGATAGTGCGCAACATGATTGCAGCGTCCAGGCAGCTCCCGTTCGAGCATATGCCTTGAGTTGCACATAGCTCCAACGATGCAACACACACACACACACACACACACACACACACACACACACACACACACACACACACACACACACACACACACACACACACACACACACACACACACACACACACACACACACACACACACACACACACACACACACACACACACACACACACACACACACACACACACACACACACACACACACACACACACACACACACACACACACACACACACACACACACACACACACACACACACACACACACACACACACACCACACACACACACACACACACACACACACACACACACACACACACACACACACACACACAGTATTGTATGAGAGAGCTTCCAGGTTGTTGTGTTTAATATTCATGAGAATATTTCTCATTGTTCAAATGATAATAAACATTTGCATAAAGCATATTTGTCCACTCATATGTTGATAAGAGTATTAAAAACTTGAAAAATATTCCTCTAAGGTACATTTAGAACAGATAAAAAATGTGCGATTATTTTGCGATTAATCGTGATTAACTATTTTAATCGACTGACAGCCCTAATTTTTACATATCTGAGACCCATAATATATGCCTAAAAATAGCATAATAGGAGACCTTTAAGATGGACTAGTGATTATATCTGACTTGCAGAGTTTCAGCTCCTTCTGTACATTCTTGTTGATATATTGTGATTTTAAAAAGGTGTGTATTATCATCTGGACAACAGCTGGAAATTAGCAATGTTGGCTAAAGCTTTCCATTTACTGTTTTTTGTGACAGTTGATTAACGGGGACTGTCCACGACACTATAAACAAATAAACTAAATTAGTATATTTTCCTACTCGGATTAGTGGGGGTTCCTCCCTCGGCCAGCGGGTAGTCGAGCGTTCGGATCAGCAGCGTCATGTCTTCGTGTCGGCTGCAGAAAGTCGCTCTCTGTCGTCCGGACACGTAGACGTCGTGATGGAGACGTTTGATTCGCTCCACCACGGACTGAGCCACCGCCTCCAAACTGTTCTGCAACGCCAGCTCTGCAGCCACCATCGCCACGATCTCCTGAGAGAGAAGAGACGCCGAGAGGAAGAGAGGTGTTAGGAGAACTAAAGGAGAACATGAGGAGGAGGATATAGAGGAATGAATACAACATGTAGGGGAAAGAAAACGAAAATGGTGAAGAAATCAAGATGGAAAAGTTACAAAAAAAACAATTTTTGTAACAAGAGAAGGTCAAGTACGACAAGAGACGCAGAGAGATAGAAAGACTGATGTTAGGAGAACTAAAGGAGACGAGGAGGATATACAGAAAATAAATACAAAAAGTAGGGGAAAGAAAACTAAATTGGTGAAGAAAACAAAACGGAAAAGTTACAAAAAACACCATGTCAAAGCTCCCATGTCATGCTTCTCCGGTTATCACCCGTCCCCTTGTGTTATGAAGGTTTCTCTGCATGTAAACGGTCTACAGAGTCACAAACCCTCAAAGTGCACCCTGCAGCGAGTAAACCTCTAACACAGAGAAGACCTGTCTGTGCTGCCCCAGAACGCCTCGTTGGACATTTATCTTTTTCCATTGTTTACTTCTTGGGCATAGTGACGTATTTCGGGTATAGTGACGTAACGGCCAAATGGACCAATCTGCGGAGCCGTTACGTTTGGACCAATCTGCGGACTTCCTCACACACACACACACTCGGCGGGACGTTGCGAGGCTCGCTGCGAGGAGCGGAGACGGTGAGCTGGCTCACTGGTGTGGGGTCGGCGAGACACCGCGGAACTCAGCCTGGGCACACACACAAACTCCAAGCCAGGCTGCGGGTGTGTGTGTTCGGGCTAGGTTTCGCTGTGTCTCGCAGACAGCCACTGGGCTCACAGGGGGGGGGGCAGGAGCTCCAACAAGCCGTTTAGGACAGAGAGTGAATACACATACTTTACAGAGATGCTGTTTGAGAAATCAACGTGAGTTTGGAACATTGCACAATGTGAATCTATTCTAGTAGAGCTCAACAATGGAACTATGATCAGTGGAAATGGCCACGGGACCTTTAAGTTGGTAAAGTAGGGTTTCAATTTGGAAAAAAAGTCAGCTTGTTTAAAACCAAACATGGCTTTGCTTTGTAGTCACATGTCTATTTGTTTCTCTTAGTTTGATGAGAACAAACACCTCTAAAGAACTTAAGACGACGTGGATGATAAGAAATTAAACCACAGGAGGGAAACTGTTAAAAAGCTGAAGAGAAAGCAAGATGATTTAGTACAAAAGGGAAATTAATAAAACAAATTAACCAAAAAAAGAGTAGGTTAAGTAGAGTCACTTTATGAGTCCCCTCTCTCCCCCCTCTCTTAAAAACGTATTTTATTTAAGGCATTAAAATAATCTGTCGGACCCTGCTCTAATACAGAACTTGAATACTGTACCAGGAAAGACATCCAAAAAAATGGGTTAGTACAAGAAGTGTCTCGATGTCATGATGACTTGAAGTAAACGGTTATTTTGTGTTTTTTTGTAATTATTGAATGTTCTTGTATTTTAATGTGTGAGTTTTTTTATACCTCGGGACTGTGGGAAACAGTATTTCGATCTTTCTGTGTGTACAAAGATATTTTGAGATTGACAATAAAGTTGACGATGACTGATGACGTCAATGTGAAGAAGAAAATAGGAGGAGATGTTTCTGAAGTAGTTAGTGGAGACACATCAATGCAGGAATGTAAAGGCAGCAGGTGAGGGAGAGTGTTCAGGGTGCGTTGGATTCCCTCACCTGGTTGGCCTGTTCGGGGCCGTGTGCAGACTCCAGAGCGTTGATGAGTCCTTCAGACATCAGCAGCAGGAAGCCCGTCACGTTCTCCAGACTCTGAACGCCGTGGATCTCCGGCTCCGAGATCACCGGCTTACCCTTCGCCACACTGAAGATACAAATCAATAATTCAACTTTATTCAAGATTCAAGGCTTTTATTTTCATGTGTGCATAGCTACTAGGGGTGGGGGAAATAATCGATACAGCAGAGTATCGCGATACTTTGCGTGGCGCTATTGTATCGATACACGGACGCCAAGTATCGATATTTTATGATATAAACTGTAGCAAATCCCTCCGGAAGATGGTCGTACACTTGACTGATGATTTCTAATATATTGAAAACTCAAAACACCAACGTGAGAGCTACACAAAGACACGAAACAACAAATGAAGCTCATACAATAGAGCAAGAACGTTTTTTAAATGCATTCCACACTATGGTACGATCTGCTATTGGTATCGCCTCTCTGCGGCAGATGTATATAAGTATGTGTGTATGTGTGTATGTATGTGTGTATGTATGTATGTATGTATGTATGTGTATGTATGTATGTATGTATGTATGTATGTACGTATGTATGTATGTATGTATGTATACAGTAGATTTGTATGATTAGGTATTTGCTGCATGTATATTAGTTTGAGCTTTGCAATGTTACCTGAGCAGGTCGATATCGTTGTAGTTGAATTTAACTCGATAATCTCCAAGTCTTCGGGTGCTGCTCTGACCTGAGATCAGACCTGTCTGCCTCACACGGGCCGAATCCACACCTGGAACAGACAGGAGGAGGAGGAGGAGGAGGAGGAGGAGGAGGAGGAGGAGGAGGAGGAGGAGGAGGTGAGGAGGAGGCATTAAAGAGAGGAGGAGGCAGGGTTCCTGCAGGTTTCACCAACTCAAATGTAAGACTTTTTAAGACCACTTTGAATAGAATTTAAGACCTATTTCACGGCAGGAAAGCATGAAGGAAAATTGTTATGAAAGAAGAAATACTTTTTAAGGCCCCGCGGGAACCTTGGGAGGAGGAAGAGAGGAAGAGAAGGTAAGGAGAGATTAAAGAGAGGAGGAGGAGGAGGTGAGGACAAACAGAGGGTGACAGCAGAAGAAGAGGAGGATAACGCAATAAGTGGAAGGAAATGGGAGTGAATATATCAGAGAGGTCACCTTCAGATGATAATGGAGTCACTGCCATTTCATTTAGATCAGGTGTGTGTGCAGCATGGAGGCTGAAGCTACAGATCAGGTGTGTGTGCAGCATGGAGGCTGAAGCTACAGATCAGGTGTGTGTGCAGCATGGAGGCTGAAGCTACAGATCAGGTGTGTGCAGCATGGAGGCTGAAGCTACAGATCAGGTGTGTGTGTGCAGCATGGAGGCTGAAGCTACAGATCAGGTGTGTGTGCAGCATGGAGGCTAAAGCTACATTAGATCAGGTGTGTGTGCAGCATGGAGGCTGAAGCTACATTAGATCAGGTGTGTGTGCAGCATGGAGGCTGAAGCTACAGATCAGGTGTGTGTGCAGCATGGAGGCTGAAGCTACAGATCAGGTGTGTGCAGCATGGAGGCTGAAGCTACAGATCAGGTGTGTGTGCAGCATGGAGGCTGAAGCTACAGATCAGGTGTGTGCAGCATGGAGGCTGAAGCTACAGATCAGGTGTGTGTGCAGCATGGAGGCTGAAGCTACAGATCAGGTGTGTGTGCAGCATGGAGGCTAAAGCTACAGATCAGGTGTGTGCAGCATGGAGGCTGAAGCTACAGATCAGGTGTGTGTGCAGCATGGAGGCTGAAGCTACAGATCAGGTGTGTGTGCAGCATGGAGGCTGAAGCTACAGATCAGGTGTGTGTGCAGCATGGAGGCTAAAGCTACAGATCAGGTGTGTGTGCAGCATGGAGGCTGAAGCTACAGATCAGGTGTGTGTGCAGCATGGAGGCTGAAGCTACAGATCAGGTGTGTGCAGCATGGAGGCTGAAGCTACAGATCAGGTGTGTGTGCAGCATGGAGGCTAAAGCTACAGATCAGGTGTGTGTGCAGCATGGAGGCTGAAGCTACAGATCAGGTGTGTGTGCAGCATGGAGGCTGAAGCTACAGATCAGGTGTGTGCAGCATGGAGGCTGAAGCTACAGATCAGGTGTGTGCAGCATGGAGGCTGAAGCTACAGATCAGGTGTGTGTGCAGCATGGAGGCTGAAGCTACAGATCAGGTGTGTGTGCAGCATGGAGGCTGAAGCTACAGATCAGGTGTGTGTGCAGCATCGAGGCTGAAGCTACAGATCAGGTGTGTGTGCAGCATGGAGGCTGAAGCTACAGATCAGGTGTGTGTGCAGCATGGAGGCTGAAGCTACAGATCAGGTGTGTGCAGCATGGAGGCTGAAGCTACAGATCAGGTGTGTGTGCAGCATGGAGGCTGAAGCTACAGATCAGGTGTGTGTGCAGCATGGAGGCTGAAGCTAAGATCAGGTGGTGTGTGCAGCATGGAGGCTGAGCTACAGATCAGGTGTGTGTGCAGCATCGAGGCTGAAGCTACAGATCAGGTGTGTGTGCAGCATGGAGGCTGAAGCTACAGATCAGGTGTGTGTGCAGCATCGAGGCTGAAGCTACAGATCAGGTGTGTGTGCAGCATGGAGGCTGAAGCTACAGATCAGGTGTGTGTGCAGCATCGAGGCTGAAGCTACAGATCAGGTGTGTGTGTGCAGCATGGAGGCTGAAGCTACAGATCAGGTGTGTGTGCAGCATGGAGGCTGAAGCTACAGATCAGGTGTGTGTGCAGCATGGAGGCTGAAGCTACAGATCAGGTGTGTGTGCAGCATGGAGGCTGAAGCTACAGATCAGGTGTGTGCAGCATGGAGGCTGAAGCTACAGATCAGGTGTGTGCAGCATGGAGGCTGAAGCTACAGATCAGGTGTGTGCAGCATGGAGGCTGAAGCTACAGATCAGGTGTGTGCAGCATGGAGGCTGAAGCTACAGATCAGGTGTGTGCAGCATGGAGGCTGAAGCTACAGATCAGGTGTGTGCAGCATGGAGGCTGAAGCTACAGATCAGGTGTGTGTGCAGCATGGAGGCTGAAGCTACATTAGATCAGGTGTGTGTGCAGCATGGAGGCTGAAGCTACATTAGATCAGGTGTGTGTGTGCAGCATGGAGGCTGAAGCTACAGATCAGGTGTGTGTGCAGCATGGAGGCTGAAGCTACAGATCAGGTGTGTGTGCAGCATGGAGGCTGAAGCTATATGGTGTTATATAAGGTCACGATTAACCCTCAATATGATCTGTAGCTCCTGAGGTCTCACCCAGAGCAGCGAGTCTCTGCAGCTCCTCCTCGTTCTCCGTGTTGTGCGGGCGTCCGATCTGAAGAACCTGGTTCTGCCCGTCGCTGCTCGACTTACACAGAAGAGCCCGGTTGGTTCCTGAAGACACGGGGACACATGCAGACGGTCACAAAACAGGAGGGAGGAGGACTTTTAAAGGTCACCTATTGTGCAAAATCCACTCCTACAAGTTGGATCGGCCGCGGGAGACGACGGGACACACCAACCTGAGTAGGGCGCCGCGAATGCCCGACTCCCAAAATCGGGTTGGTGTGTCAGGGCCTTTAAGATAAGGGGAGGAACGTCTATAAATAGTCATGTCTTCAAATTCTTTACTCATCAGTACAAACCCAAAGATTTACACTTTAAATTGATATAAAAAGTTTTAAAAAGTGTGCAATCTCCAGACATAAGAAGCTGAAAAATAAATGTTCTGCCTCAAAAATGATCAAAAATAAATATGATTTTTCTGTAAATATGCTAATCGTTGCCATTCAAAAGTAATTTAACTGTAATATAACAAACGCTGGGGCCACCGAGCAGACGTCTGATGAGGCAAACCTGAACTCTACACACATTTTAGGATCTTTAAATAGCCGGAGTAGTGTGTGTTGCAGACGACAGAGTGTAAACTCTCTTAGGTTAATAGTGAGCTGTCGTTGGCTCTTTTCTTGCTGTAATAAATGCTAATTTCCCCTCTTATGTGGCACGAATTCTGATTCTTAGATAATGCAATAATCGTCATGTTCTTATGTGCCCATGCAACACACATGTATATGCTCGCTATCCATGCCTGTTGTATGTCCATATACCTTTGTCTATCTGCCCACACACACACACACACACACACACACACACACACACACACACACACACACACACACACACACACACACACACACACACACACACACACACACACACACACACACACACACACACACACACACACACACACACACACCACACACACACACACACACACACACACACACACACACACACACACACACACACACACACACACACACACACACACACACACACACACACACACACACACACACACCACACACCACGTAACCTTGAATGACACCACTGTTGCGCAGATGTTCTTCATTACGATTATTATTACTGTCTGCTGCTTCTTATTGGCACTATTTAATATTGTAACATACTGTACATCTGTAAAATAAAACTCAGTATATATATACACTTTGAATACTGTTATCTGTCCGCTATCTATCTCTACATGTTCCACTTGTTTTGTATAATACTGCTACTTGTGGTGTCTTCCTTGTATTGATTTGTATTATTTATAATGTGCGTGTGACCCATGAAAACTAGGGGTGCACCGAATGGGAAATTCTTGGCCGAAACCGATACCGAAAATAGGAAACAGTTGGCCGAAAACCGAATGCCGAAAGGCCGAAAATGATTAATAGAAATATATATATATAATGTATACATTTTTTACCAATGTTGTTCAGCTACCTGATTATGGAAATAGACATGATTATGGCAAAACTTCACTTAAATAATAATCACTATTATGGGTCCATAAACATTTATTCAGCACTTTTGAATGCATACAGTACATTTATATATGTCATGTATTATTGCTAAAAAACATTATATCGCAGTCTTAGTGTCGCCAACTCGTTTCTAATATGCAAAGACAACAAATGCGTCTATGATGTATTTTCGATCAGACCAGATCTCTCTCCCCCGTCTGTGTGCGAGGGGGCGGGGCAGTTTACACACACGCAGCTGCTACATGCAGCGGAGCACACTGCGGAGATGGCGGAGAGAACGCGCTCCGAGGTGTGGTTAAACTTTACCCGTCTCGATGTGGAGAATACTTGTTACCATAAGTGCAATAAGAGTTTAGCATGTAAGGGCGCACGAGCAATTTGTCTAAACATTTAGCAAAAGTGCACCGCATGCAGACGGAGGAATGTACCGGGTTCGACCGTCTTTCTAGCAGCTCTGTAGCTCCATCCACGAGTAACGTTTCCACGTCAGGTGTTATGTATGCTAGCAGCAACACACGGAGTTAACTCCATGATACAAACATGGGTTAATGATTAGAGGTAACTGAGTTATTTAGTTTGTTAAAATTTCAGCTATTCTGTTTACAGTCTGTCATCAGATTATTTAATACGATTTGTTAAAGGCTCAGGGCAATCTCGATGACAAAGGTCAATGCCCCCCCCCCCCCCTGTGAGCCAGCCGCGAGCATGGTCGCCGCGTCTTTATTACGTCATCACAACAACACGTTAGGTTACCAACGTAAGCCTGTTCTGACATTCGGTGATATTTTTTCGGCCGAAAGCCGAAAGGGCCTTTTTAACCATTTTCGGCCGATAATTTTCGGTGGCCGAATATTCGGTGCATCCCTAATGAAAACCTGTTAAGCCCGATGCCCCCTCGGGCGGGGAAATATTAGTATCATCACTGAGCGATCCGAACTCGCGACAGGGGAAACGAAAACAGACATCACAACACGTAGCTTCACGGAGGAAGCTTTTTACCTTATCTGTTGTCTTCTGATCAAAAGTTGTGTTCAATGGCATTAAAACGATGAAAACGCTGCTGAAG